AGAGTGAAACTCCATCTCAAAAAAAAAGGGAAGGCACTGAGAGCTCATGCATCACACGGCAGGGTGCTGACACTCTACTGTGACAAAGCAGGTCAAGCGAGTCCACAGTCCCAGTCTGCAGATGAGAAAACTGCGGTACAGAAAGTATTTGCAGGACTGAGGGCAGCAAAGGAGTATCTGGGAATCCAAACAAACATCTAAGGACCCAAACATTGAAAAGCTGGCACCACTGCACCTGATAGTGCCTGTTTTTCTTTTCTTTTTTTTTTTTTTTTGAAATGGAGTCTCGCTTTGTTGCCCAGATTGGAGTGTGCAGGGGCGCGATCCTGGCTTGCTGCAGTCTCCACCTCCTGGGTTCAAGTGACTCTCCTGCCTCCCGAGTAGCCGGGATTACAGGTGCCCGCCACCACACCCGGCTAATTTTTTGTTTTTTCAGTAGAGACGGGGTTTCACCATGTTGGCCAGGCTGGTCTTGAACTCCTGACCTCAGGTGATCCACTTGCCTCGGTCTCCCAAAGTGCTAGGATTACAGACGTCAGCCACTGCGCCTGGCCCGGAAAGTTGTTTTAAAGTTCAGAATGGGGGTGGAGGGGTCTTGCCCAGTGAGAATCTATTAAGTCAAAAAAAAAAAAAAAAAAAAACAATCAACAACAACCAAAAAAAAAAACAAAAAAAAAAAACAGGCCAGCGCAGGTCAATAAGAGACAGGGAATTCTGGATCTTTCAGAAGTGGATTTTACTCTAAAACTTGGTTCTCATCAATTTAGACTGCATCGCCATTAGCATTCTAGTAAGATAGACTAGCGATTATTTCAGAGGCAGAAAAAAAACAAGGCACAAGAGGATAAGTAAGTGTCCGAGCCACTCAGCATTCATTTCAGACACACTGGCCGGGTGCTGCTCTGGGAGGGTGCCCAGCAGGCCGTCTGGAACAGGAGGGCTCTGCGGCAGGAGGACGTGGATGAGACCTCAGCTCTGGGCCCACCAACTATGAGACTTCAGCAAGTTACTTTATTTCTGTGGGTCTTGGTTTCCTCACTTGTAAAAGGGGAATAAAAACCTCCTAGAATGGTGGCACTTACCAAAATACAGCAAAAGCTCCTGGATGAAGAACGCATGACAAGGGGGAAAGGGGGAAGGTTTAACTCTTTGGGCCCAGGGCAGTCTCTCCTCAACACTGAGCCCAGTACCATGCACTTCCTAGGGACAGCGGCCACAAAAGGGACTGACAGAAGGTACAAGGGAGAGAACTCTCATTCGGGTGGGGCTAAGGGAGGACGCCACAGGGGAGGCCTCAAAGACCGTCCTTCAGGGCAGGCAGCATGCGGCAGGAGCTCACAGTGATGTTCTAGCAACTGGAGCAACACAGCTAAGGATGCCGAGGCTAGAAAGTGTCACCAAGGGCCAGAAGTGCAGGAAAGGGACCCAGCAAGGTTAGGTGGAGTCGATTCAGGGCTTACTAAGCTCATCAAAGCGGACTTTTTTTGAGACAGAGTCTCACCCTGTCTCCCAGGCTGGGGTGCAGTGACGCGATCTCAGCTCACTTCCACCTCCACCTCCTGGTTTCTTTCAAGCGATTCTCGTGCCTCAGCCTCCCAAGTAGCTGGGACTATAGGTGTGTGCCACTATGCCTGACTAACTTTTGTATTTTGGGTACACACAGAGTTTCGCTAGGGTGGTTTCGAACTCCTGGCCTCAAGTGATCTGTCCGCCTCAGCCTCCCAAGGTGCTGAGATTATAGGTGTGAGCCACAGCGCCCAGCTGTAAACTGACTTCTTTTGGAGGAAGGTGAATGGGAGCTGTGAAAGGTTTTTGGAACAGGGGAGTATGTTTTAGAAGATGAATCCCAGTCAGATGCAGTGGCTGATGCCTGTAATTCCAATACTTTGGGAGGCCGAGATAGGACTGCTTGAGGCTAGGGGTTTAAGACCTGCCTAAGCAACATAGCAAGACTTCATCTCTACAAAAAAAATTTTTTAATTAGCTGGGTATGACTGGTGCGCTCCTGTAGCACCAGCTACTTGGGAGGCCAAGGTGGGAGAATTGCTTGAGCCCAGGAGTTTGAGGTTGCAGTGAGCTATGATCCTACTACTGCTCTCCAGCCTGGGGGACAGAGCGAGACCCTGTCTCAAAAAACAAAAAGAAGATGACTCCCACAGTGGCGGGGGATGAAGTGGGAGGGAGAGGGCAAGTAGGAAGTAGGATGGCCCAGCCCACTTTGGGCATGACAAGAAAGTGGCCTATTCCACAGTCCAGCAGGCTGGCAGGGGTGCAGGAGAGCCACCTTCTGGACTCCAGAAGGCAGGTTTGGAGTCCTCTGCACAGAAGTTTCAGGGGAGGGAGCACAGAGATAAGATGCAGGTGGGGAGGCTGAAATTAGGGGACAAGAGGGAGAGACTGAAAGGAGAGAGGATGAAGAGTAAAATCCCATGGGCTCCAGTGTTGCAGGGTTCGAGGAGGATCGGCTGCAGCCACAGGGCACCAGGTTTAAGGACGGAGGGGCCGCTGGTAACCTCGGGGAGTATAAGGAGGGAGAAAATCTGGACGCATTTCCATGGAAGGCTTTTTGGAAAACAGAAGAGAGCTGAGCAGGGGGACAGGGAGAAACACAAATAACTGAGATGCTGATGGGAAAAAAAAAATCACTACTAAAGAGGCAGGAGGGCAGACCTTTCTAATTCATATTGATATTCAGGGTCAGAAAAGAGTATACAAGGAAGGAGATTCTGAGATGATGTCGGGGAGTACAGAGCAGGCTGAAAAAGACGCTGATGGGAAAAGTGCAGACGGGCGTGGGGGTGGAGAAAACACACCCCTCCTCCCCTAGGCTACCCACTGGGTTATCCACTTTGCTCACCTTCACCTGGCCGTCTGCTTGCCAAGTGTGCTCTGTCACCAAAATCCAACCAGATCACAGCCGCCTGCTGCAGGGTGCTTCCCTGTTGCCCCCAATCAAAAATTTTGGAATCATACCCTTGGTTCCCCCAGAGTTATCTGTGAACCCAAGTGATCTCCTAAGCTAGACAGTAAGGGCCTGGGAGGGCCATGCCTCACATCTGGGTCAACAGTAACCCATGGTGTAGATCTTCACTCGAGAGCAGGTGTAGAGAAATGCTGACATTTCCAAATGAAGAAAACCAGGCCAAGCCTTCATTCAACAAATGTATAGGGAAAGGAACAGGAAGAGGCTTAGGAGTCAGTGACCTGGCCGGGCGTAATGGCTCACACCATTTTGGGAGGCCAAGGCGGGTGGATCACTTGAGGTCAGGAATTTGAGACCAGCCTGGCCAACATGGTGAAACCCCGTCTCCACTAAAAAAAATACAAAAATTAGCCGGGTGTGCCTGTAGTCCCAGCTATCAGGAGGCTGAGACAGGAGAATCACTTGAACTTGGGAGGCGGAGGTTGCAGTGGGCTGACATCACACCACTGCACTTCACCCTGGGTGACAGAGCAATACTCCACCTCAAAAAAAAAAAATTTTTTTGGACAGGAAAATTTGGACAGGAAGTTTTAGAAAGATCCATGCCTCCCAAACTGGTAGTGCTTAGAGGTTTCTCATGAAATGATCTTAGGTGATTTTCCCCGACTCCTGCCGTCCCTGCCCGCCCCCTGCTCCCCGCCCCCCACCTCCCCACTACATACTCTAAACTGTAGCACTTAGCTATTAATAACTACTATCTGTAGGACACTTAACAGTTTACAGAGCACTTTCATGTCAGTAACAAGAACTTGCTAATTAATAATCACTGGGTGTTAGCACTGTTAATTTAGTGACAGTGTTGCAAACTGGCTAGCTGTGCACTTCTCTCACCTTGGATCAGCTAACCAGTCATGCAAGCATGCAACTGGCCTGTCAGCTCTCTTCGGGTCTGGAATTCTTACTTGCTGTGGTCTCTACTCCCAAAGGTCCAAATCTGGCATAGGCACTGTTCTAAGTGCTTTTTCACATGCTTAATTTTCACATAATCCCAACACATTTTTATATCTCCATTTTCCAAAGGAAGCAACTGATGGGTGGAAAGGCTAAGAGCTTCAACCAAAGGCACAGAGAAATCGGGGCTGGAGCCAAGATTTGAACACATGATCTGACCCTGTGTCCTCACTCTTAATCACTATGCTGTGCTAGATCATTCTAGCAAAATGCTTATATGGTGCTTTGCACAACACAGGTATTCAGCAAATAAAGGCAGCTGTGATTAGCAGAACACAGGCAGTTTCTAGTTCCCACGAGTGTCACCTCCAGGAGAGCAGCGACCTTGTCTGTCTGGATGAATGCAGCGCTCCCAGCACCTGACCCAACGCACATTTGAGGGATGGATAGAAAATGAATGAATGAAAGTCCCTCCCAAATAGCAGAGCTGCCTACGCATGACTCTTTTTCGCACGTCTGTGTCGCGCTATCGATACTGACCCTTCTTAAGCGCATCAGGCGAATTTGAGGACACAGAGAGGTGCCCAAAGACGTGCGATCTGCGCCCGGTGCAGGGTGCAGGGGTGGCGGAAGCAGCTCCCAAGGGATCAGTCTGAGATCTCGCTGTTGCTGACGGGTCCGGGCTCCGGCGAGGCTCTGCCCTGCACCCAGCAGGGACCCTGCCCGCCCGAGCGCCGGCACCCGCGGGAGACAAAGACTCGCCGGGCCACTGCGCCGACAGAAACGCTCGTTCCCCTCGCCCACCTCTCCGGGATGCAGCCTAGCCCCCCGCGGGTCCCTGGCCTGGGAGCTTCGGCGGCGGCAGGGTCCGGGCCCTGGGCGAAGAGGACACGCGCCGCGCATCTCCTGGCCTCGCTGGTGCCCGCGAGGGTCGCTCGGGCACTGGAGGCCGCGGGCCCCGGCCTGTCACCTTCAGGGCCGCCTGCCCACCCGCCGGCCGCAAACCCTTCAAGCACGAGCCGCCCCCGCCGCCGCCCAGCTGAGTCTCCCCGCGCCTCAGCCTCGCCGCGCCGCTCGCCTCGCGCCCCGCACCCCGGCGCCGCCCCCAGGCCCGCCCGGCCCGTACCTGCTGGGAGAGGGGGATGAGTGGCGCCGCCATCTTCCCGCGGACTCGGGCTCCGAGCGCCGGGGGAACGGGGGCGGGGCCGCTGCCACGCGTGCGCACTGGGACGACGGGAGGGCGGTGCGCACGCAGCCTGTCTCGGGAGGGGGCGGGACCGTAGGCAGGGCCACGCACGCGCAGTCAGGCCGGCAGGGGCAGGGGCGGGGCCGCGCGCCGGCAACTTGATGGGCGGGGCCCGAGGCGTCTCCGTGCAGTGCTCTCTTGCTCGCTGTCCCTGCCCCTGCTTCCAACGTCGTTCAGACTCTCGTACCGCCGGCCGCTGGCCGTGTCGGCCATGCTCTGTCATCCCTCCAGCCCATGCCGAGGCCTGGTTCTCTGTTAGGGAGGCCGTCCCCCTGCCAGTGCGCCTGGGGAGGCGGTTGCCCACCCCGCGGAGCGTCGGGACCGTCACCCTGCCTCGCAAGGCGCCCTGTTCCTAGGATCGCAGTGTGTGTGTTCTAATCTGGGGGACCCGCACCCTGCCCCCCTCACCCTGCCCCGCAAGGCGTCCTGTTCCTAGGATAGCTCTGTGTGTGTGTGTGTGTGTGTGTGTGTGTGTGTGTGTGTGTGTGTGTGTGTGTGTGTGTTGTAGTCTGGGGAACCCGCACCCTGCCCCGCAAGGCGTCCTATTTCTAGAATAGCTGTTGTAGTCTGGGGAACCCGCACCCTGCCCCGCAAGGCGTCCTATTTCTAGAATAGCTGTTTGTGTAATGTTTTATAATCTGGGTCTGCCCGTTAGGGTTTTGACTAAGCTCAGGCGCAGAACTTCACCTCTCTGTGCCGCTGCAGCACCCACAGTGCCAGGTGCCAGGCATGATTCCCCTGCTGCTCTGTGTGTCCTGGCAAGTGGTTGAATTTGCCTCTCTGGGCCCTTAGGCCCCTCTTCTGAAAAGAGAGAATGGTAATACGTGTTTGTTATTGTTACACATCTATGTCCCTCACTGCCCGGCACAGAGCAGCTGGCACCTGATGCTTGCTGTAGTATGGTTATTAGAGGAAAAGCACTATTCTAGAGGACTTTTTCTTTTATTTTACTTTATTTTGTCTCACTCTGTCAACCAGGCTGGAGTGCAGTGGCACGATCTCGGCTCACTGCAACCTCGCCTCTCAGGTTCAAGTGATTCTCATACCTCAGCCTCCTGAGTAGCGGGTATTACAGGCATGCACCACCATGCCCGGCTAATTTTTGTATTTATATTTTTATTTTATTTTTGAGACGGAGTCTTGCTCTGTCGCCCAGGCTGGAGTGCAATGGCGTGATTTCCACTCACTGCAACCTCTGCTTCCCAGGTTCAAGCAATTCTCCTCTCTCAGCCTCCCTAGTAGCTGGGATTACAGGCACCCGCCAACATGCTTGGCTAACTTTTGTATTTTTAGTAGAGACGGTTTCACCATGTTGGCCAGGCTGGTCTCAAACTCCTGACCTCAGGTGATCCGCCTGCCTTAGCCTCCCAAAGTGCTGGGATTACAGGTGTGAGCCACTGCGCCTGGCCATATTTTTGTGTTTGTAATAGAGATGGGGTTTCACCATGTTGGCCAGGCTGGTCTTGAACTCCTGACCTCAAGCAGTCTGCCTGCCTCGGCCTTCCAAAGTGCTGGAATTACAGGGCATTTATTTATTCAAATGCTCCAGCCTGGGTGACAGAGCAAGACCCTGTCTCAAAAAATAAAATAAATAAAATAAAGATACATTACCTTCCATTGGCTGTGGGCACCCAGCACATACACCTCCAGGGCCAATTTCTACATACAGAGTGAAGAAGGAAGTCCGATTAGGCAACTTGACCACAGCAGCATGGGGTTTCTTCAGGGAAGATTGGCCTCTCCTTACCAGGCATCCTATGATGGTGGCACAGTGTGTCTGGCCTGGCACCAGTTCCCAGCAAGCAAGGCAGAAGGCCGGCAATCTCAGGGGTGAGGACGCAGCCTTCTGTCCATCTCCTCCTGTCTGGTGTTTCACAAGCAGCTGCTCCAGCATCTTCAATGATTCAGGGTAACTCCTGCCACTCAGATGAGCACTGCATGCTTTATGATTCATTCAACAACCATTCACCTGCCAAACACGTGTTGAGCACTCTACCTTGGGCCAGACCCGTGGCCTAGACACAGGTGAACTAATTGTGCATCAGGTCAACACACTCTGTACCCCCAGTTGACAGTCTAGAGCAGGGAGCTGTCTCATCCTGAAACTGTGTTAGAACCACCCTATAAGGGCTTGTTAAACACAAACTGGGGTTCTTAGGCTAATTGGTAGCTCTAGGTGAGACTTGAGATGTTTACTTCATTTTTTTGTTGTTGTTTGTTTTTGAGACAGAGTCTCGCTATGTCACCCAGGCTGAAGTGCAATGCCATGATCTTGGCTCACTGCAACCTCCGCCTCCCAGGTTCAAGTGATTCTCGTGCCTCAGCCTCCCAAGTAGCTGGAATTACAGGCATGTACCACCATGCCTGGCTAATTTTTGTGTTTTTAGTAGAATGGGGTTTCACCATGTTGGCCAGACTGGTCTCCATCTCCTGACCTCAAGTGATCCACCCGCCTTGGCTTCCCAAAGTGCTGGGATTACAGGCGTGAGCCACTGCGCCTGGCCACGTGATTTGTTAGAAATCTAAACATCGTGGCCAGGCCCGGTGGCTCACGCCTGTAATCCCAGCACCTTGGGAGGCCGGGCAGGCGGATCATGAGGTCAGGATATCAAGACCATCCTGGCTAACACGGTGAAACCCCCTCTCTACTAAAAAATACAAAAAATTAACCGAGCATGGTGGTGGGCACCTGTAGTCCCAGCTATTCGGGAGGCTGAGGCAGAAGAATGGCATGAACCCGGGAGGCGGAGCCTGCAGTGAACCGAGATCAGGTGACAGAGTGAGACTCCATCTCAAAAAAAAAAAAAGAACAATGTATAGCCAATCAACAGCTTAGGTTATTGCATATAAATCCTCAATAAACACTTTAGGAACTGCCACTTCTTTTTCCTTTAAGAACCCACTTGTGGGCCAGGCACAGTGGCTCATACCTGTAACCCCAGCACTTTGGGAGACCAAGGTGGGCAGATCACCTGAGGTCAGAAGTTCCAGACCAGCCTGGCCAACATGGCGAAACCCCATCTCTACTGAAAGTACAAAAACTAGCCAGGCGTGGTGGCAGGCGCCTGTAATCCCAGCTACTCAGGAGGCTGAGGCAGGAAAAGCTTGAACTCAGGTGGCAGAGGTTGCAGTGAACCGAGTTTGCAACATTGCACTCCAGCCTGGGCAACAAGAGTGAGACTCTGTCTCGAAAAATAAATACATAAATAAATAAATAAAATAAAATAAGATGGCCAGGCACAGTAGCTCACACTTGTAATCCCAGCACTTTGGGAGGCTGAGGCGGGTGGATCATTTGAAGACCAGCCTGGCCAACATGGTGAAACCCTGTCTCTACTAAAAATACAAAACAATTAGCTGGGTATGGTGGTGGGTGCCTGTAATCCCAGCTACTCAAGAGGCTGAGGCAGGAGAATCGCTCGAGTCCAGGAGGCAGAGGTTTCAGTGAGCCGAGATCACACAATCCAGCCTGGGCAACAAAAGTGAAACTCTGTCTCAAAAATAAATAAATAAATAAATAAGACACAAACCCACTTGTGGCCAGGTGCAGTGGCTTACACCTGTAATCCCAGCACTTTGGGAGGCCGAGGGGAATTATGAGTTCAGGAGTTGGAGACCAGCCTGGCCAATATGGTGAAACATCAATATGGTGAAACCCCATCTCTACAAAAAAAAAATACAAAAATTGGCCAAGTGTGGTGGTGCACGCCTGTAGTCCCAGTTACTTGGGAGGCTGAGGTCAGAAAATCACTTGAACTCGGGAGGTGGAGGTTGCAGTGAGCTGAGATTGCGCCACTGCATTCCAGCCTGGGTCAAAGAGTGAGACTCTGTCTCAAAACAAAGTCAAAAACAAAAAGAACCCACTTGTAACTTGCTAATCAAAGCATATATTCAGGGCAACTTGAATCTATGTCTCCTGGGCTGCAATCCTCAACCTTGGCCCAAACTCTCTACTTATATTAACTTTGCCTCAGCTTCTTTTGTTACATCAACAGAGTAATGAAGGTTTTTAACTGTCTTGAGTGCTTTATCAGTACGTATTCCATAAGGAAAAGAGAAGTACTTCTAAGTACTTCAAACAGAGGATATTGAATACAGGGGATTGAGCCAAGCTCTGTGGCTCACGCCTATAATCCCAGCCCTTTGGGAGGCTGAGACAGGTGGATTGAGACCAGCCTGGCCAACATGGAGAAACCCCACCTCTACTAAAAATACAAAAATTAACCCAGTATGGTGGCGGGGGCCTGTAATTACACCTGTAATCCCAGTTTCTCAGGAGGCTGAGGCAGGAGAATTGCTTGAACCTGGGAGGGGAAGGTTGCAGTGAGCTGAGAAATCACCGTTGCACTCCAGCCTAGGTGACAGAGTGAGACTCTGTCTCTAAAAAATAAATAAAGAAAAATAAATGAATACACAAACGAATACAGGGTATAAAAGTGTTGGAAGTACTGGAAGAACAAATATAGTATAAAAGTGTTGGAATACTGGAAAAACAAAAGGGGAAGTAAGTTTACCTAAAGATTCGTAACTATATGAGGCTGCTAGCCCCTCTAGGGCTGAAAGATTAAAGCAGGGGAGGTGGCTGGGCATGGTGGCTCACGCCTGTAATCCCAGCACTTTGGGAGGCCAAGGCGGGTGGATCACCTGAGGTCAGAAGTTCGAGACCAGCCTGGCCAACGTGGTGAAACCCCGTGTCTACTAAGAATACAAAAATTAGTCGTGGTGGTGGGCGCCTGTAATCCCAGCTACTTGGGAGGCTGAGGCATGAGAATCACTTGAACCTGAGAGGCGGAGGTTACAGTGAGCTGAGGTCACGCCATTGCACTCCAGCTTGGATGACAAGAGCGAAGCTCCGTCTCAATAAATAATAAATAAATAAAGCACAGGAGGACCCATAACCCACAATCACTGTGCCTCCAGAAGGAACCCAGATGTGTTCACCCTTGCTAACCACAGTTGCTTCCACCATGATTGCTAAAGTCACAGCTGTTGTTGTCACCACCACCTAAGCCACTGGCAGAAGTCTGAAAAAAATGGTTTCTCCT